CCCATTCTCTCCGGCCAAGGGCGCATGATATAAGTGCTGGTCATAGAAATAAAGAAAACTACTTATTAATAACTACAAAAGTATTGTGAATAAATATAATAATTGGATTTCTTGTAGTTTACAGAATTACAAATCAACTTGAATACAATTTGTTCACAGAGCCTGAGTATTACATTGAACAAAAACACTGCAGCTTAATCTGACGGCTGAGAATGTCTTTTTTTTTTGCTCAAGTCGACATATGATATTCCATACCTGATGTACACCACCTTCCCATACTTGCTAAAAATTTCCTTCAGCCAGTCATGATCAGCATAAGGTGGGAGTCTTTCCTACAGAATTGAGGTATTTTACATTAAATTATTTTTACTGGAGATCGGGTGCGAAGAAAAGCAATTTTCAGGCTTGCCCTTCGAGGAGGGTCGTACAGGGGTATTTTCGTGATGCATGATTAGCTGATTTCATTTTCCATGAAATGTGAATTTAAGAAAATTATTCTTTGTGACTCGAAGAATCTTATTTTAATAAAAACTGCTTGTCAAAATTTCTGACAAGCATACCCAACCTTTTGAAATGGGAATTGCCCCCTATCCTTCAGACAAGCTCTAACTATAATGCAATAACCTGAAAATCATTCTCACTAGCGACACAAATTTCATTTCTTGCGGCACTTCTGTAATTGGAATTTCCTCAAATTTTTCCCAAGAACAGACTCTACTAGCCCGACTAGAAAATCCAATAGCCCCGGGTTGTCAGACAGGACTTTTTTTGCACACTGGGAGAATGATAGACTCGATCACATACACTGAAAATTCTCTAGGCTCAATTAAGGTGAACAACAAGAAATAAACTATTTTAAAAATTAACAAATCAATAGTAAATAAATTACAGTATCAACCCAGCTGGTGGGTTTCCATGTAGGTCATCCTCTCTCCAGGTTGATTTAAAAATGTTGCTTTTTTAAGAGAGGAAAACTAAAGTACCTGGAGGAAAACCTTCAGAGAAAAACAAGAGCTAACAACAAACTCAACCTACATGTGACACCAGGGTGGAACTGAACCTGGGCCACATTGGTGGGACGGTGAGTGTTCTCACCACTACTCCAACCTTACCCCCCTATTCCTTGATGGAAGGTTTCAGGTTTGAACCATTACTAAGCTGACCAATATCTTTGGAATATTGCCAATATGTCTGTGGATCTTCTTTTGGGAATCTTCAGCAGTGTTTAAAAGTTTTCCAATGCATATAAACTTAGGAAGTTTAGAACATTTTTTGGGAATTGGAAGTCAACATCCTTTTAAATTTTTGCTAAGTGCTCAAATACTTACAATGTAGATGGTTTCTGCATCAACATTTCTTGGCTCAGGAACAGGAGTTGTACGTCTGACCATTGTCTCATCTTCGCTGACCTGAAAATATATTTCAGAAATACTGTAGAGTTTTCAAAACAATAATCCGACTCTAAACACTCTCAGTGGATAAAATGTGTGGTTCCTTGAAACATGCACACCCACCACCAAGGCTAGTCTCTTATGCAGCTGGTATTTGGGTGATCATGAAACAAACCTTCCCCAGGAGTGTAGCATGATGGCCTGAAAAACAGCCACACACAACACTGGGCCTACGAATCTAAAGGTCACTAAAGGCCCTGATACTTGGGGCAATATTGTGCGCATATATTGCATTTTTGGCATAGTTTCCTGGAATTCCAAAAAACCCACAAGATAATATAATTCTTTGAAAACAGTAGTGCACAGTAGGATATTTTGGGAAAAATTGCCTGACTGTTTGACTTGTACACCATTTTCTTCTGCAAGACAAGTTGGAGGTTATATAATTACAGGACCTTAGCAAAGCAAGACCAGAAGACTTACCTCAAGCATAGAGGACACTTTCATGGCTTTTACAACAAGGCTTATGTCATCTGTTATCTGTTTCATCCTGTTAAAACTAGCAATTGTTGAAATTGCTACAACTGCAGGGAAAACAAAATAAAAATGAAGAGTAACAAATCATGGTAGGAACAAATCTGTTTTGAACAGGGCTATCAGAAATTTCTTATGGTAGGTGGCTTTATTTAACCGTTGGAGTAGCTGGGTAATTTTGCTATCTTTTTCCAATGAATCAGACAAATAGCTCAGCAAAGAAGTTGGCTGTGACCATGATGTAGATGGTGATTTTTGCTGGAAGCTGACTCCTTTAAAAATCCTGTTTTTAAATTTTGATATAATTACACAAGAGACAACACGTGATACATGACTAGTTGCAAGTATGACAGTGGAGAATGACAGGGAGTAGAAACTTAGACAATAGGCTGGAATAAGGAAAAAGTGTCCATTTTGTTAATCTAAATGTAGGAACAGAGTTGCAGCTCAGGGACCTTAGAAACAATGACATAAAAACTAGTGTGGAAGGAATGAAATATGAGAACTAAGGATCACAGTCAGAGCCATAGCTAATAAAAAGCAAACCAAGGCAATTGTATCTGTCTCAGTTATTTATTTTTTTTGCTTTAATTTGTTATTTATCGTTACGAAAAACATCCTAAATACACAGGAAGAGGATTAAACTACGGACATCGCCTCAGTCATAATCTTTTTCTGGCTACAGCCCTGACTGTTTCT